GTTACACATACTTGAGGGGGTAATTCATTCATCATTTCCACAAGACACAGGTACTAGTGTAACTGGTGGAAGTATTAACCCCTTTGTGTGTTATAGGTGATCTATCAGCCTATGTCTTGGCATTTATAAATAGTTCTATAAATTAATATTTTTTCTTATGTTTGCATTTTCTCTGTGGTGAATGTTAGCAGCACATCCATTTTCTTGTTTCAACATCTGAGATAAAGTCCTACAGAATAGTGTCGAAACTTTGCAGCCTTGAGTCTTTGCAATAGTCTTTGGAATGCACCTGATGATAGCATTGGCATTTAAGCAGCCACTCTTTCATGCTTTTCTGGAGGAGGAGGAGGAGTTTGGACTTGATATCCCACCTTTCAGTCCCCTTAGGAGTCTCAAAGAGGCTAACAATCTCCTTTCTCTTCCTCCCCCACAATAAACACTCTGTGAGGTGAGTGAGGCTGAGAGACTTCAGAGAAGTGTAACTGACCCAAGGTCACCCAGCAGCTGCATGAGGAGGAGCGGGGAAGCGAACCCGGTTCACCAGAGTCCACCGCTCTTAACCACTACACCATGTGGAGGAGCTGGAAGTAGCTCCTCCCTCCTGTAAGGCACACATGGCTGTGGTATGGGCTGTCCCAAATTTCAGAGGCACTTCAGAAGTTGTTTCCAACCCTGGAAACAAAAACAAAACAACAAGGAAACACCAGGATGCATTTGTTCTGGGCATAAAGGGGCTCTTCACATCACCTCTTTTTATTCTTTTTGGGGTTGGTTGTTGTTATTTTTGCTCCATAGTCTAAGAAATCGAGATGATTTTTATGGAAGCTAATTAGGATGACAATGATATATTTGAATTCAAAAACTTTAGTCTGAAACAAGCACAATATGTAGTGTTTCATAAAATGGGAGGAGAAATTCTTCCTGCGTTAGTCTGACATGCAAATCTGTGAGCTGTGCTATGCTGTGCATGAGAGCATTAATCAGAAATGGAGCAAACCACAATATCTAATTATATTATATATAACTGCAAATGTGTGCTAGTTACCACCATAGCATCACGAATCTGGGAATGATCTCATATAGAGCATAAAGCTGTCAATGTGTTCTAACCCTGATGGGTGAAGAATCAGAGGCACCATCATTCTGAATTACCAGTTTCTGGGGAGCAACAGTGGAGAGAGGCCTTTATTGTCCTGCTAGGGGGTTTTTTCCTGTGAGAAACAGGATGCTAACCTAGGCAGGCCTTTGGTCTGGTCCAGGAGGGCTCTTATGTTCTCAAGGATAATGAGTTTGTTGCTCTGCACTATGATAGACTCATCTATTCTCTCTACCCTAATTAAGAAACCAGGAAAGAAGAATCTGTATATTTGAGTATTAGTCCTAATGTTAATTTCAGAAGTGCTTAAGGTGTGGCAGAAAGGCAATTTTATATTTACTGAGTTGTGTGGTAGCCTTTAAAAAAATGTCCCACTTCATGTTCTTGCTTTCTAGACTTGATGTAGCTTTCAACATTACAGCAAAAGTTGACTAGCAGATATCTCGATAAATGACTGTTTCTGTATTTGAAGATATCAAGTGGTTTCACGCATTATAAGCAATGATAAGCACATAATTGCCACTTTTCAATGAAATGTTTGAAGATACCATGTAGTAATAAAATAGTCTCTTAGGTATGTATAGCCTTAGCTATTACTTTTTTAAAAGATAAAATTTGTTGGCCTACCTGTCATCTGTGAGGCCTCCTAAGACTCTCATTCATTGGCTCAGTTGCTGCAAATACAGTGGTACCTCGGGTTACATACGCTTCAGGTTACAGACTCTGCTAACCCAGAAATAGTGCTTCAGGTTAAGAACTTTGCTTCAGGATGAGAACAGAAATCATGCTCCAGCAGCGCGGCAGCAGCAGGAGGCCCCATTAGCTAAAGTGGTGCTTCAGGTTAAGAACAGTTTCAGGTTAAGTACGGACCTCCGGAACGAATTAAGTACTTAACCTGAGGTACCACTGTACTGTATCATGGAACATTCACCAGCATTCCAGCTGCTCCTGGGGATGCTGGCAGCAAAAGAATTTTGTCCTGCAGGTTCTGTGAGTGTGAAGTGTAAGCTTTGTTTGGCTGCCAATCACCTCACAGAGGGGGCCTAAGGACAGGAGTAATGTGCAGCTGGCACAAAGTAAAGGAGGGAAGGGAAGTGTTGCTTGTGCAAGCAATGCTTAGGGCTGGGAAGTTAAGTGGAAAGAGTGGGCAGGAGGAGGAGAAACGGGAGAACACGTACTGGCAATGAACCAGAGATCTGGAGTGTTTGATTGTGGCTAAAGTGTGAGATAAGGAGGTGCAGAAAAGGTATTTGGTTCAGGAAAGAGAGGGAGGGAGGAGGGGTAAAAAGAAACTTTACACTATGCCTAGGTATTGAGAGCATTGACTTTCTGTGTTCTGTGGATGAACAAGAGAGCATTTTACACTGGCAGCCTGTGAATGAGTGAGCTAACATACAGCAAAACTCAAGAGATTATGCTGCTGGCTGACCTTCACATGGTGATTTGACAGATGTCCAGCCAAATTTTTGAACATAGGAAGCTGCCTAGTCAAACCAACTTCCTGGGTTATTGCTTACTTGGGCTGGCAGCGACTCGCAAGGCTTTCGGGCAGAGGCCTTCCTAGCAACTACCTGAAATCCTTTCTCCAGGATGTGAACCCACTCTCGTGTTTGTGTACTTAAATAAGCATTTTGTAAAATGTTTTGCTATCATTTAATTCTCTCCCCACCCCGCAAGATTTGTGCAGGGTCTGTTGAACATGCTTGATATGGGACCAGTTTTCATTGCTGCTTCAACCATTTGTGGTTTTTAAAACATGGTTGGAGTTGTTTTACTGTTTGATGCTTTAATTCAGTTTATTGTAAGTTGCTGTGGGTTCTCAGCTGCTGAGTTAGAAAGGCTGCTCATAAACATTTGGTGTGTTGTTTTAAAGCATTACCAGTCTTATTGTAGAAGGGAGTTCAGTGGCTTTGGTGATCTTTATGTGCATAAGTACATTCTACTACCAGGGGCTGCCTTTGAGATTCGTTTGGAGGTTGCAGCTAATGCAAAATGCACCCATGCAGATGTTGACTGGCCTGGCTGGGTGAGATCATACAATGTGGGTCCTTAAAGATCAAAAGTGGTTGTTTCTTTGCTACCAAGACAAATTCCAGGTGCTGGTTTTATATAGAAATACATGTGTGTGCATGGACAAACACACATACACAAACAGCTTAGGACCCAGTTATTTAAAGAACTATCTCTCCCCGAAGTTTTGCCCATGATCAGAGATCCAACAGGTACGCCCTTGTGGTTATTCAATCACAAATAACCAGAAAACTCATGGCAGAGTCTTCCCAGTTATATCTCCTCTCGACCATCTCTTCAGCCCATCCCACTTAAAGTTAGCTGAGTGGTGACGCTTAGCAGCTTTCAGTACTGGTCAAAAACTATTTTGTTCCGCTAGTCTTTTGTATGAATCTTATTTGGCTTACGTTTCTGAGTCTACCTGGAGAACTATGTTTATTATGGCTATCTGTGACCTATGGCTTTGAAATGTTTTTAATGAATTGTATAGTTGTGACCTGCTCTGAGATCATCCATGATAAAGGAGGGGATATACATTTTATTTTTTAAAAGAATAGACATAGCCGTGGATGTTTTTTCTCCTGATTTGTTGTGACAAAAGCAGGATTTGCTCTTCTTAGAATCTGATTAAATGCCCAGTAAAATGGAAATGCTTTAGTTGGCTTCTTAGAGTTAGGATTTTTTTTCGATATAGTGCACAAGATTTGAGCAATTAAGTAGATGCTCATGGGTCATCTATTTGCTAGGAAGGGAAGTTATATATATCCATATTTGTCCACACAGGGTCAAACTATTAATAAAGGGTTTTAAAAATTAATATTGTTTACTGACATACATAAATTGAACTTTTGCCTAAGTCAGGGGTCAGCAAACTTTTTCAGCAGGGGGCTGGTCCACTGTCCCTCAGACCTTGTGGGGGACTGGACTATATTTTGGAAAAGAAATATGAACGAATTCCTATGCCCCACAAATAACCCAGAGGTGCATTTTAAAGCAAAGCACACATTCTACTCATGTAAAAATACACTGATTCCTAGACGTGCCGGATTTAGAAGGCAATTGGGCCAGATCCGGCCCCTGGGCCTTAGTTTGCCTACCCATGCTCTAAGGTATTAAAACCCATATTGCATTAAAAGGCAGAAGAATGCAACAGTGTTTTGCATATTGGTGATTTTTGTGACTAAAACACAGAGATGAGTAAGGGGGCTTGGGGCAATGGCTTTTCCAAGCAACTTTGGTGCCATGCAGTGAAACATCATATAAGTACATCATAAAAAGTAATGCAATTTTACTTGATGCCATTGTGGCTTTTGCACAAATAAGTCTTTATCCCCACCACCTGAACACATCTTTGTACTCTTCCAGTCACCTGCATAAGCATCATGATGCTCAGCAAAAGCAGTTACCTGGGTACACCCTAGTACGGAGGCGACTGCTATTGTTTGACATGTCTGAATTCACTTTATCACAGGGAGAACTCACACGTGCATATTTATCAGTGAATGAAAGCAACATTTAAGGCTGCAGTCCTAACCTCACTTACTCGGAAGTAAGCCCTGCTGATTTCAACAAGTTAAGGTTGCTTAGGACATAGGATTGTGCTGTCAGTGTGATGTAGTGCGGGGGTATGTGACAAACTTATCACAAGTAGAACACAACGGCATTTTTTGCTTCACCTGACATCAGGTCAAACACAGCAGTTTTCGCTGGAAACAGCTCACAGAAGCTCAAGTGATGAAACATCTAGTGTTGTGCGTGAACATAGAACTTAGTTAAACCTTGGGGGCGGGTACATTCTTAACACTTTCAGAATGAAATTAACAGTCCCAGCTGTTGGTGGCTTGTGTTTTTGGCTATTTTAATAATCAAACCTGAAAAATTACCAGAAGTGAAATTCACAGACAAGAAATACTTTAATTAAATATTGTGTAAAATGAACATTTTTATACAGTTAAATATCTGAAAAATGTACAGATAAAACAATCTTATTGTAGGGTCTTTAACAGTAAAATCTACCATTTAGTGAAGTTTTCCGTTTGGAGACAATGAAGCGATGAGTGCATTGACTAATTAATCTAAAACACAAACAGATTGCGTTTATGAAGAAACTTGCAAACTTTCTTAAGATGTACATATGACCTTTCTTTTTAAGATCAAAACCTTACTTATATAAAATAAAACTGAGGCAATTCAGTTTCAAAGTGACTTCTTAGGCTTTCCCACTTAGCTAACCTTATTGGCTAATTATTTGTGATATATTGTTTCGGTTTTCAAACCTTTTATAAACGTTTCCTGAAAATGTGCATTTTTCGTATTTAAAAAATGGTCCCTCCTTTTTGCTTAGAACTTTAATTCTGCTGCAGTTTGCAAAAAAATGTTTTTGCAGTGCTGCATTTACAAAGCATTTAGTGCAAAGGAAGAAAGCGGGGGACCAGCTGTCTAAGGATTGGCACTAACAGGCACGATATTATTGAAGAGGTCATTCCAGTTTATAAATTACAGTCAACGCTGTAGGTCTTGCTACCAAAAACGGGGTGGGTTGGAATCTGTAAATAAAACAACTTATAAAAATTGTGCACGATCCGAATTGCATACAAGCCTTTCTCTCTGTTAAACAGTGCTGGGTTACAGAATATGCAGAGTGCAGCAGAAAGCAGACACACAAAGGAGTGACACAGTTGTACACCAGGGATGCAATCAACCAAGCACTGCTGTGGTCCTACAACCAGCCATTTTCATGGGGTTGGTAAAGCATCACCCCCCAATAGATGAGTGCAGTAAATTAGAAGATTGTACCCCAGGTTTGTGCTTTTTTTTTTTTTTTACACCATAAATCATCCAGATGAAGTAGCGATTAATTGTGGTGTAGGCCCATGATAAAACAGCACAAAAAGTTCTTCAGAAGTCTACTTTTAAGGCATCCAAGTAGTTAATGTGGCAAACACTTTTAAGTAAAACATCAGAAGTGGATTTTTATTTTATAAGCTTTTAGGCCTCTGGTTCCCCCCTCCCTCCCAGTAAACACAGTTCAGCTATGTGGCAAAGTCATGGGGTGGCAGGTAAAATGACTTTTTACAATCTTTTTTTTTTTTTTAAAAAGATAGAAAAAGAAAATAAGGCATGAGACAAAACAGGGTTTTTTTTAAAAAAACCAAAAATGCTAACACAAAATAGGAGAATCTTCTTTTTCTTGTGGCTGCATCACATGCACGTATTCTACTAGTATTTATTACAGCCATGTGGCACAATTCCGTTTTAACTATACAACAAACAACTTTATTTCAAAATCATTTGTTCAGATAACTTAAAAATAATATAAAAATAAACAATGTTTTTTCCCTCAAAACAACAAAAAGGATGGAAAGTCCAAACAAATAACAACTTTCTGAAATACAAATGAAATGAATGAACACAAATTTATTTTAACAGAAACACATGAAGGCAGCTGTTCTTGGCTTAATGCTTTTCACAGCATCACAATACCAGTCAAATGACGAAAAAACATACATACAAGGGGGGAGAAAATGATAAAAAGCAATATACAAAATTTCAAAGATAAATACAATATTTATAATCAATATGTTACAAAATAAATTCCCTTGGTAGATTGCAAGTGTTTATGTGAAAGAAAGTGTTGTAATGTATGACTATTTTATTCCTTATCTTTATAAGGAATAAAATTTGCTGATCTAAATATTTAAGTGGATCTGAAAAAAATTCAAGACAAGTGTATAAATATTTAGCTACAACTTTGGCAAAATCACAAAAGTCTACAATTTTATAACCACATACAAAACACATTAGGGAAGAAGGATCTAGAAGTCAAAAGGACAATTTTCTGGTACAAGAAACATAGACTTCACAGTAGCCTAAGAATGCAATAGTATACAGTGCTAGCAAAAGTTGAAAAAATGTTGCAGATCACACTTGCTTAACAGGAAGCTCTAGCAGTGGAAGTATATTTTTTTAACCAACAGACAGTAGCATTTTTTTCTCTGTCAGTGTGCTTGTTGAAGGCAAGAGAATTCAATATCAAAATTACAATTTCTAACTACAATAAGTTACAAAGTTCCATTTCCTTAAGATGAAGTTAAGCAATGATAAACCCTCCCACCCTCCCCAGCTCCCAAAATTTTCCCAAATCATATATTCATCCTTTTTTTCCAGTTTTGATGGCTCATACCTCCTTGGCCCCCTTTTTTCACCACAAAAAAATATTTCACATTATAGAGATACACAACCATTGTGAATCTAGTTATGAGTACAGAAAAATGTTTTGGAGGCGTTTTTCATCAGTGTTTCATGATAATCAAAATGGTGCATCCACAAAGTTTTTCCCGACACATAGCAAGTACTAGACATAGCCAAGACGTAATCAGAAACTTTATACAAAATAGGCGTCGCTTTTTCCTTATTCTTCAGGATCAAGAAATGTGAAAATAAGAGAGAAGTTCAGTTAATAAAATGGAATAGTTCATGAAGAAGTTGATTGTTTGCATGTTGATTCTTAGTAGTTTAAATAAAATCTTTAAACAAAGTTTTTTTTGTAGCATTTCAATGTTTTGCTGATTGTATTTTGAAGATACTGTTTCCATCAGCATGTCTTATATACTAAACTTGTCCCCTAAAAAGCTCATCTTCTGAAGCTTGGTGCTACGGTAGGTAAACAAAAATGAATTTACATTGGCGGGACTACAAGCCCAGACATAGCTGAAAGAAAGAGAAAAAGAACTATTAAATATGTGTATAAGCATTATTAGAACTTGCAAAGAAGAAGAAGAAAAATCCCACCATGCACAAATATTTCCCAGAAGTACCAACTTCCACAAAACATTTAGGGACATCCACCAAACCTATTTCACATAATATATGGGCTGTGATCCAGAGGACTGTGGCTGGGGGGTGGGAGAATACAGCTCCTGCCACTTTGCAGGCAGATATGTATGTTCTTGCCAAAGTTATGTGCTGGATTAGTGGTGTGAAACATTTCCACATGTGAAACATACCCTCTGCATGCAAGAGTATTGCACCAGGAAATGAGCTGTGATGTATACAGAAGTTGATTACTGCATGTAGATCATCATCTCTGGATCACAGAGCATGATAGGATGTGTGTGTGTGTTTTCTCAAAATCTGGGTGGACTGCTGATGGACATTTTCAACATTTAATATTACAACATAGTTTGCATGCAGTAGCTGCCAGACTGGTTTTGTCATCTGTTACTAGTATATCAGGCTATCCAATGAGGGAAGGGGTTTTCTTTTCCCCACTCAAACATTTTAAATTATTTTTAAAATAGGACTTTCCTACCAGAGCATTCTGTAAAGACTTCACTTTTAAAATGAAAAGGATTCTGACATTTTTTTGTGCAAAGCATCCTGCCTCCCACATGTGTGATATTTCTCTTAGCGTTTTGTTAATGGCAAACAGTGGCCCAGACTCCCTGGAGACTGCCTATGTTGACAGCTGAGAAACAACATGGTCACTTTTGGTAATGTCAGACAAGGCCAGCTCACTCACCAATCAAGGACCAGACACTTCTCAAGTTCCCTAAATGAAAATCTGACTAACCTTAGCTTTTTCTCTTTTTCCAAGCACTCAAGCCTAAGTGGAAAGCCTCAATTTTGACATTCTGTTAATTGTACTTTATCCTAATAGTATGCTGACTTTAATAAGTCAATGACTTTCTGAGATCAAAGTCAAGTATAGTACACCTGCTTTGGAATCTGTCAAAGCACTATAAAAAAGACATGAGATTAAAATCTTCCACTTGCTAGCTCAATTTGTTTCTTAAAAAATGCTTAGAGCCCAATCCCTTGTTAGTCTGTGTGCGCCACACAAAGCTCAGGATCAAGGTACCCAGCAGTGATGCAAAGAGATCTGAGTCCCTTTGTTCTGGCACTGGGAACTGGCACCAGCCCCTGGATTTAGGTTAGTAGCCACCACTGTTGCCACTTCAGCACTGGGAGAATACTATGCAGAGCACTTAGGAGAGACAAGTCATTTGGTGTCCCCCTGTGTCTTGTCCAAGAATGGGCCAGTAGACCCTAATGCATATGTCAGCAAAGACCTGTAACAGGGATTTTCTCTGGATATTAAAAGTGATCGGGACACACTTTCCTAATACTGGATGCTGTGGTAGCTGTGCCCTACATATGGTATATCAAGGGAAAGGCTGGGCTTGTTAAACAGGGAGAAGCTAAATTTTGTCATTATGTTCTCGTTATCTCCTTGGCAAGAGTATAATTTGGACTGTTTTAACCTTATGGTGTTTAAATTTTGTCTTGATCATTCTCATTAATTTATGTACAAGAAACATTAATACATTTTTGATGTAGTGATGCGAACTTCAATTTCCCAGTTCATTAATCTCAAAAAATATCAATTTATCTCAGATTTGCTGTTGCGGGTTTTCCTGAAAGCTGGTTGTATTTCTTATGTAATACACTCTCTTTGTCTGGCCACCCATGTACTGTATATACTAGAGTATAAGCCGACCTGAATATAAGCCGAGACACGCAATTTTAGCACAAAAAACTGGGAAAACTTATTGACTCGAGTATAAGCCGGTTCACCACACCACAAACCTGGTGGTGGCGACAGCGGCGGAGGAAGAACAAGCAGCCCCAAAGGGCTCCTTTCGAGCTGCTCGTCCCTCCGCCGTCGCCTCTGCTGCTTGCAAGAGCAGGCATAGGAGCCGCGGTTGGGAGAGGCGCAGCACAGCGTCTCTCCCAACCATAGCTCCTGTACTGAGTCATGAAGCAAAGGAGGAACATAATTTAGGAAAGGCAGATAGGAATGGAGATAGGCTTTTCCTCTTGCCCGGGAGTGCCAGAGACATGCTACCTATTTCACTAGCAGCCCCTGAACAGTTGATTGACCATATTGTAATAGATGCATGCCAGTGTGTCACAAAGGGTGACTCAGTAACCCTTTTACATGCATGGTCTCACTGACTAAAATTCAGATTCACGGGAGTAGTGGTGCTCATGGATTCCTTTCCCCACAGAACAGATGGAACAATGAGGATGAGTTGAATGTCTGTGTTGAGCAGTAGCTCCATGAATTCTGCTGCTGTACCCATGGACCTTTGGCTTGGGGAAGAACAACATGCAAGGCAGCCTTCACCCTGTGTGGTAAGTCTTGTTTTCTCATACAGTTCGTAGCTTGCTTGTAAAATACTGGTCGATTATTTATTTTTTCTATGAAAAAACAATGCTGGGGGGGCGGGTAAGTAACTTTTCTGTAGTTTTTCCACAGTGAATACTGCCAGCCTTAGATGTAACTTATGAGGTTAGGCAAATCCTGTACATGAAAGTTTTGAGCATGCCTTTGTTTACATGGAAAGATTAGTCACAGGCTTGCAGATGGAGCCTAACAACCAGACTCTCTTCCATTTCGACCCCTATGTGCCACTGCTTGGATTGCAGCCAGTTCTTGCCAGCTGTGAATTCCCCCAATATGGCAGCGTTCCAGTATATTTAGCTCCTGCACAATGCTGCCATCAGGGCTGGGAGAAACAATGCCAAATGATGGGGGCACAGTGATGTGCTGCTCACAGTTTTCGGCCAGTAAATGTTCCCTTGTGGTAACTGCAGCTCATTGGCAAGGGATGGAGCAGAGCCTTGGCTATCTGCGGCAGCAGCGAGCTCTCTCTGCCATTAATTGACAGCAATAAATACTAATAACACTATTACCATTTGGTAGCAAGTATTCTGTTAAATTAGGGCCAACAGTGGTGAATGCAACATTCAGCCAATTTTCACCTTCCTGTATTGCCAGTGAAATAGCTGCACAGAAGAGGAAACATGGTTCCAATAGTCTCCATGGCCCATTTTTTAAAAAAATGTCTATAAAATGCAGTTTAGGGTTCAGTTTAGTTGGCTATTCCTAAAGAGGCTGATGCCCTTCCTCACCATACTTCTGGGAAATTTATTTTCTCCTGAAAAAATACAGATGTTCTCCAAAATATACAGTCTTGCAAACAGGGCATAAACTCAAAGACACTATTACCAATGCCATCAAACACACAAGCTGATTGCTGTTTTCAGTGTACTAGTGACAACCCAACTTGGGCAACCAGAGTTTTTGACAGGGGAAACCTGGCTCAAATACCTGTAGAGGGAAGATTGCTAGATTAACTTGGACCAGGGACTCTTTCTTAGCCTCACAGGGTTGTTATTAGAATAAACTTGAGAAAAGCAACACCCTGATCTCCATGGAAGGAGAGGGAATACAAATGTGATGTATAAACAAATCAAGGATGTGCTCTGAGCAGATATACAGGAAAACCATTGGTCCCTGCTAAAGCATGTTTCCAGTCTTCAGTGCACACACACAGCTACATATCTTTCCTCTCATTCATATATACAGTCCCACATGCTCATGCATATCTCTTGCTCCTGTTGCTTATAAACCTACAAAACCCTTGTCCTTATTAACATATGCAAACAAATGTATACTCTAATCACCTTTCTAAAAACTGAGGCAAAGTTGACATGAAGAGACAGCAAAGCATAGGTTTCTGCCAGATGCACCAAAACTCCCGATGCTACATATTCAGTGCTGTTCATACCACATAATCTTTTCTTTCTTTTTTATTGGGTTTCTGAACAGGGACCCTTCACTCTTTCAGCATCTGCCCACACCATACTGAACCTTCCTTGGCTCGCTCACAATCCTTAGATAGTGCAAACCATGGCCCGTAAATCTGACACTATCAAGACCCCCTTGGTTTTTGCCTGTGACTAGGGTAGAAGGCATTCACCACAGGAATACCAATTACATATAAGCCACAGGTTGGCTACATTTGGTCTAAACTCTGAGCTCATGCATATCTTGATATGACTTAACCCCATTTATTTATAGAGCTGCTTTCAAATGTATGAGCCTTTGATCACTGTCAGGGACAACATTATTTAGATACAGATCTTTCATTTTTATACTGAACCAAAATACTTAATTTTAATCTGCAAAAAATATATATTTAGAAATCAACCCAAATTTAATATGTGAAATGTATTTTAAAGGTATGTGGTGAAATATGATTCCCACAAGTTTAGTTTCTGATTGTCGCGGAAATAGTCTTTTTTCAAAGTATTTGTCTGCAATATTCTTTCATATTTTTCACTATTGACAAAGCAAGTAAAGTAATTTAGTCTTAGGCATGGTAGAACTAATAGCACAACACTTGGAAAAAAGTAGTATGCTGCTTGCTTATGTTCAGGAAATATAGTGAGTGAAATGTAATGGTGACAAACTATGATGTGGACTTTCATGTTATACTGCAAGGAAGAGCAAATGAAAAAAAGGATGTTGTTTGGTCTGAAAAAGCAGAGGAGATTTACGCAGTTCATGCTGTTTTATTTATTTTGGCAAAGAATGACTCGAGCTACCCCAGTCATGCAATCTGTAATTCGCATGCTCACCTGGAAGGTGAATTAACAACTGTGCCCTCAGTGTGCTCCCAAGTGGCAAACAAGATAGTGGCACACACTTATGCAAACTCTCCTAGCTTAAAAGTTTTTGTGGCTACAGAAGGGAGAACCCAAGCTAATTGTGTAAGTCATTCAAATGCTGCTTTATATTAGCACTTGGGTTAATATAGTGGCAGTGAATATATAGTTTGAAAGAGAGGACCAATGCTGTCATATCAGCTTCTCTCTGCCACCTGCCTTCAGACTTGCACAGTGGTGTCAAGGCCATTGCCACCACAGTCTGGTTTTCTGTATCCAGAAGAAGTGGAAGCAATGCCAGGGAATTGGTCCCTGAAATCATTTTCTTGTTGAAGAGTTGGAAGGCATTCTCTGAGCTCCTGGGTTCCAAGTGTCAGTGGAAGAATGTGAGAGGAGATGGGCAGGTGACATGATTATATTGTGAGTGACCACACCTTTGGTAATTGTCTGCAAGGCTGATCTGTGCATTAGACAAGCCAATAAATGCCACTGTGTGTGATTCAAATCTACATACCATTAAGACCTAGTTAATAGTGTTCATTATGGACATTTCTGACTAGAGTTTCTCACACTTGTGTCTCCCTGGTCTACAACATTGGTACCCTGCACGGTATTTGTAGATCAACATAGGTATTAGTTTTGTGCATGCAGGATGGAAGGAGTGCAATAAAGGCTATCTGGTGTCTTAGTGGGAAGGAAATGGAACCAAATATCTTAAATTCATAGTTTTGCTGGCTTAATATCCCAACTGTGTTCTTTTATTGTAGTTATTGGGAGTTTGAAACAGTGGTCATTAGCATTGCTGAGGAAGCAGAATTCCCAGCATGGGAGGATTATCTTGTTCCTGTGCCCTAACCCTACTGTATTGAGCACAGGAGAGATGCCATAGCAGAAGCACCATACCTGAGGCGATAATTTGCTTTGCTCATTTAATTTTTAAGGTGACATGAAAGCAGCAGCAAATGTACTGCCCTGTTCTGTCTCTGCATGGGAGCCCACAGAAGACAAGGCAGCCCCTTAGGAGAGAGCAGGCTAGCCATAATCTGTTCAGGTCGGAGTCACAGGACCATGGATAGCTCTAAACTGGTAATTGCTCTGACAAGATCTGGAGGACAGCTAAAGCCTTCCACCCCTCTTTACTCAGTCTGCCCTTCTCAGATTCTGACCACTTCCTGAGGAATGGAGATACTGTATACTTAAAGCGGTAGTCTTCTGGCCTGGAGCTCCCACCTTACTCACTGTAGACACTGATAAGCAGGGCATTGTGAATGTGAGCCCCCCTGGTGTAAAGAGTACTGGGTTCTCCAGGGATTTTATCTCGGGAGGTTCCACTCCAGAGGTCTTTGGTTCAGTGGGATATTAGCTGACAGGTTCTGGCTCAGGCTCGTGTCTGAGTCCAGGTCCAGCTTATTTGAAAATTGTGCTGCCAGTCCTCTTGACCTGGCAGGCTCCTCCTCTGTGTCAAGCCACTGCTCATGGTTGGGATCATGACACAAACTAAAGTTTGCTAACCATTCCTAAAATGCCATTGTTTGCTTCAGCTGAAATTTGCTTAGCATACGGTAGCTGTATTTCACATAATGACCAAAAAAATAATAATAATTCAGTGTTCAGGCTGTGATTGGGCCAGAACATACATCATAATAAGTTAAAACCAAACTAGTTTTGAATGTGAATGTACAGCATGCTGGTACAAAATGCTGAAAAGTTATTGCTCCACTCCTCCCATGCTCTTGCCATGCAGCTGAGAAACAAGCTAGGATTTCACTTGTTGTGGTATCAGAACCTGGACTCGCGTTTTGTTCCAACAAAGGAAACCACAAACAGTAAGCAAAGAACAACTCTTGGTTACCACTTGTGGTTTGTTTGTAGAGAAACAAACCATGAGCCTGGGTCTGGACATTGTGATAGCCAGACTCTGGATTGTTTCCTGGTGGTGTAGCAGAAGTAGGGAAAAGCAGAGCAATAACTTTTCAACAGCATGCACCAACACATGGAGTATTCACATTAAATCACAATTGATTTTTAACTATGTTTTTAATGTAACACGTAAACCAGGCCACTATCGTTAACGTTTCCTGGTCAAAACTAGGAACTATAGTTTCTTAAAATAGAATGTGAAAGCTTCTCATCTCCTCCTCGTGGCCACGTCAGAGGAGGAGCAGGGAAGGGCAAGAGCATGAGGCTTTCATGTGTAGAATGATAAGATATGGTTTAGCATTATGTGCAGGTTCGTTTTTGGACTGCTTCACACGTGTGTGTACATCACTAAATTGCAAATGGTTCAATGACTAAATTCCTTTTGCTGAAAAGTAATTTGCTTAAGTATGGGGCGCAGGTGGCGCTGTGGGTTAAAGCCTCAGCGCCTAGGACTTGCTGATCGAAAGGTCGGCGGTTCGAATCCCCGCGACAGGGTGCGCTCCTGTCGCTCGGTCCCAGCGCCTGCCAACCTAGCAGTTCGAAAGCACCCCTGGGTGCAAGTAGATAAATAGGGACCGCTTACTAGCGGGAAGGTAAACGGCGTTCCGTGTGCTGCGCTGGCTCGCCAGATGCAGCTTGTCACGCTGGCCACGTGACCCGGAAGTGTCTGCGGACAGCGCTGGCCCCCGGCCTCTTAAGTGAGATGGGCGCACAACCCTAGAGTCTGTCAAGACTGGCCCGTATGGGCAGGGGTACCTTTACCTTTTACCTTTTTAATTTGCTTAAGGTGAAGTAAAGTTGTGGTTTGTGATCACTGATAGTACATTCAAACATGTTTGATGCATTTGATTCCCAACTTCTCTGGCTTTCTGCTTATGGCATGCTAGATTCAGGACAATTTGGTTAAATGAGTTTGTATGAGTAGGGACAATTCAAACATGAGTGTGTACATGGGTGAGCTTCCCTTTAAGTTAGGGAGGGTGTGGAAAAGATCTGTGGGACCTTTCTGGCTCCATAAGAGTGGCTGTAAACATCCACCTCTCTGGTGCCATCTGAGCTGTTTAACACAAGATCAGTTTATTTCATCACCACAGCTGAAAAACTATGATTTCTGAAACTATTAGAATAATTTTATATTAGCTTATATTTGTCATCAATGCTGTATTTCAAATGCTGCATTTTTTTGGACAGCAAAGTAATTTGGGGGAATGGTTTAATGTGTCAGTAAGAACGTCAGGCTTTAGAAGTGACCTAGAAGAGACCAGGATTAATAGGATCCTAGTGGCAAAGTTTAATTGCATTTGCCCATCAAGCTTTAATACTGATTTATTAATTGGCAAGATAACGTATCAAATACCCAATAAGTCTGTCTTTTTTTCTTTACTTATTTACACTTTTGTCAAACTATATAATTAAAAACAACCACACAATTTAAGCACTTAGGTAGGTGGAAAGAAGTTTGGATATTCGCCAAGGGCCACCAAAAGAAAGCATTATGGGCCTCCACATCATTACAGTCTCTAACAGAATAAAATGGAGGTTGAACCTACCAAGTATACATTTGGGGCCCATAAGGGAAAATCCTATTTTCTTTTTTTCAAGATGCCCTGTTCACTGTGTTTCTTTCACACACCCAGGCAAATCATGTCCTTGGTTTACTATCATATAAATTGAAGGTCTGTCCCTGAAGCTACTCTCAAGAGAAATGTTAAAGGTGGAATTATCAAAGTAACTAAATGGTTTAGGAGCAAAAGTTTCACACATGCTGCTTTAGTACATTTAAAAAAAATAACTTCACCCCTGGTTTGTCTGTAATAATAGAAGCTACCTATGGATGTGTAGGTTACAATGAAAGCATTTTGTTTATTTCTAAAATTTATATACCTGCTATTCCAGCCTGTGGTGTACATATCTAAAATAACTTCATCCAGCAAGCAACACAACAAAATCCAAACCTAATGATGGGACAATACTACCTTGCATTTACATTGGAAATGCCCATATGTACCTCACTAGAAAGAGAAGTGTAGGTCAGTCTTTCTCTCTGGTGAGATACGTTTATTATGCAATCTTGGTTTTCATGTAGGGCTGCTCAGTACTGGACAGCATGGTGGGGGTGGCGGAGCTTACCTGAGCTCCAGTCAGTTGCGTTGATGCAAATGTACTGTCAAGGACCCTGGATTTCACCATACCAAGCGTCCCACTGCATTTTCCCTCTAGCTTCTGGTAAGTAGTAGCAACATGACTGACCACAGGTCAGGTGAGCATCCCCTTCCCCACCATGCGAGAGATTTTTACGATCTAAAGAGAAACCAGAGTATGCCATCTGCAACTGGGACTGCTTTTTAAGGAAATACTTCCCGTAAAAATACCAAGGTGGTACGTGTGTGATTGCCTCATTCTGCATGCGGTTTTTATTCCCCACCCCACCCAAAAAAGCCCACCCTCTGACCCAATGAGAATAGGAAATTTTGCTCTTCAGAATTCTGGAAATTTGTTTTGTTGCCCTAGTGCAGCTGCAGCATTGGAGGGATGTATGCATTTAAAAGTACTGTTGATAATATATTCTTTCATAACACTACGCTTCCATTCCCCCCACCTTACTTACATCGTTAGAACTGGCCCAAACTATGTGCATTTTTCTACAGAAAAACAATTCGCTGTGCATAGGTGCAATGGAAGTTTTGTAATCTCAGTGGTAAGGAAAATCTGAGGAAAGTCTGTGAATTTGAGGTAACTCTTGGGAACAGACAATTATACTGAGGCAGTCAAGAGATACTTATTGGAAGAAGGTTTACATATTCAGTAAACTGTATTCATAATTACCTCTCACATTTCCTGAGATCAGTGGTAGATCTTGGAGGAGGAGGCCTTTAAAGGATTCCTAAATTGGTTTGGGGTTTTTAAACTACAGCCAGGAGGGAGGAAGAAAGGTCTGAGGCACTGGTAAATTTCCAGAGACTCCTGCATAGAACAATGGGAGAAAGGAGGGATTTAGGGTCTTTCTCCCATGATGCCACAGAAAAGGGGAGGAGAGGAAGTGACTTGACATATTTCCAGTAAGTGGGAGGGGAGGAGCTGAAAGAGAAGAAGTGGGAGTGATAGAAGTTAAAGAATGCAAGGGATGGTGGAGATCATGAAGGGAGAACCTGGTTTGTCTTCCAACCCTGAAAACTCAGGAATTCCCTCACCCAGCTAGGGTGTGCATCAACTCAGATTCTACAATCTGCTATCCCAAGTGTACCTCTCAATTCAAATGTAAAGTTGGGTGTGTGATTATTTCCTCACAAGTGGAAGCAAAAGCTCTGCTCAGGAAACATAAATTGGGATGAAAGGAATACCCCTTTGCTAAACTTTTATTGAAATGGTTGCAGATTTCTAACATAATTTACGAACCCTGAACTTTGGTGGCTTTGCACCTTACATTTATTACTAAAGTTTTTGTTCCGCTTTTTAAAAAATTAGCTAGCTTCACCAAATGCATATTTATTTCAAGAGAAGAAACAATTCTATTCAGAGGCTCCTGTTGAAGTAATTCGCGGGTAAACAAGCAAACAAAGTTTGCTGGGGTTATGCATATGTGTTTAGATGATAAGGACCAGAGATTTCAAAACTCTCAACACTTGCTAATGCTTTAATGACCTGATCAGAGGCAAACAAGGAGTTGCCTTTGGCCCACTCTGACAGACAGGTGCTTTTAGGCAGCAATCCTGTCCAGCCTTTTCACCAAAGACTCTGTAAGTACAAACGTACCTGCATTTCTTTGTGAACCTTAGGATCTTTTCAGTATTGCAGATTATATTCCTGATTTTTTAATCTTAAACATTTTTGTATTCTATTTTGAGTTCAAACATTAGAAAAATAGAGTAGCAAACAGACCAGTTAGTTGGTCTGGACAGCTTGTATATTTCCATCACTGGATATTTTACAGGTAATTGAGATAAAAAAATCCCTAAGGGGTAGCATCTTTATTGGCATAAATTAGATTGATCTTCTCAAGTCGTTTTCCAGTCCTACCAATGATATTTATACATCTAAAGGTAAGCTCAGTGCTAATGTTGAAATATGAGGATGATGATATTCTCTTTATAAGACAAAGAGCCTAAAATGTAAATGTATGCCTTTGTGATCCAGGACTTTTTATTCTTTCCTGATACACAGAAAGTGAATGGTGGCTGCAGTGTAAATAAATCAATACTAGTTGTGCTCCACTCCACCCAGGCTGTGCCGTGTTAAGTGCTTAGAGCATGTTTTTTGGTGTCCGTTAAGAGTTACAGTTCAGGCTGGCTCAGTTGAAGCAGGTTTTGGTCCTGCGTTGAAAAAGGTATGGCAGTGATATACATGCAAAGCAGTCTCTTTAATAAGAGACTTTGCAGTTGTTTCAGCTCCCTCTATAAATTTTCACACTTAGTATTAATGACTGCAAGTGGCTATGTAAATTCTACAAGCTATTTTATAGTTATTTGTCCTGGTTTTCCTCTTTTTATGGACAGTTTAGCTGGAATAAGTTCCAATAAGAGCACAAAAACCTCATTAGGAATCTTGAGGGTGAACAAAAGCTACGTTGGAACAACAGCTTCAAACGTCTGTAAGGTTCTTCAAGTTTCAAATAGCGACACAAGTAGGAGAAACAGCACATCTTGAAATGCTGCCGATTAAAATGTGTCTATCAAAAATGCATGCAGTATAAAGAAGAAAAAGGAACACATCTGATCTGTGAGAGACATTCAGGGTTGTGTGTTTATTTTAAAAATTAATGCATGAAACCTTAAGGGGAAATGCTGGAAAAACAGCTAGTATTTCTTCTAATGCAAAGCTTAAAGTTTAACCACTGATATGGTAAAATGGTTGGCTATGTTTTGTGCTACTGTATTTAATACCAAGGTCTTGCCCCTGCAATGCAAAGCCATTTAAAAAAATAAAAAATAAGCACCTCGTTTTTGAAGTCTGGGGTTTTGTCTTTTAATATTTGCCAGTGATAAAAATACTTCCTTTTCCCTTTTAGATCTAAAAATATTAGGTTCTAGTGTTTTGTTTTTAAAAATAATAATCTGCAATTACACAAAAAAATGATACAGAGATCCAGCTCACCTTGAAGTCCATTTCCATTTGCACTGGTGCAAGATGGTGGAGGAGAAGCTTGGGGCCTGACAACAGGAGCAAAGGCGCTCTTTTGTTTCACTGCAGAGATGACATTGGCAGGTGAGAATGAGAAAATGCCGTGTGTACTGCTACAGTTTGAAGGGAGGGTGACCGAAGAGGCTGCCATGGTAGGGCTTGACGGCACTACTGCAATAAAGCAAAAATAATCAGGACTCATATTGTGGATTTTATGGCAAACATGGAGGGAAGGGGAAAAAAGAGATTGATAGGGCCTTGTCTCTCTTATAATAGCGGGGGGAAATTATATATGAAAAAATAAAAAGCTTTGGCTTGCCACACTCTGGATAACAGGCAAACTCTTTTGTGTTGGACCTTGGTTGCACATTTTGTAGTCCAATCTAGTTCTTTTTTTTTCTTTTCTCTTTTAACCAAGATTATTGTTTGGCATATACCAATATATTTGCCATGGTTTTTTTAATTGGTTTTTGTTTGTTTGTTTTTTAAATGTCCAGCCTCCAGAGTCACCCCTCCTTTTATCCAGTAGCTCACATTGTAGAAAAATCAAAATAAAGTAAATATATATATATATATTGTAACAAATAAAGAATCTATGTAATGGCTACATGTACCAGAAAAAGACACTTACTGCCATAAGGGGAGTTAGCTGAAGAGCCATTAAGAAATCCAGGGGAACCAGGTACACCAAGATTGGGCATGCCAGCATTGCCATATCCATTCATGCTATTGCTGACTGTGTTGTAATTGGACTGCTGAGGAGTACTGCTCGGAACATATCCTCGCGGGGAAACACTGCTTGTGTTGCGACTGTAACCTACTGTGTTAGGTGGAGAGAGAGAGAAAGAGAGAAAAACCCATCCCAAGAAAATGGTTATTATTTAGGGGGGTGAAGGGTTTCCCTTCCGCGTCATACATTACACACTTTTAATTGATTGCACAGCTTTGGTCTAAGTTGTCTGCTACTGCCCTATCATCTCTTTACAGTTCAAGATAACCTTATCACGCCAACCCTACTTAAATCATCGAGGATCATTCCGTGTTGCCTCTGCTCCTGGCAGAGAAAGCCAACAAAAAGCTTCCTTCGATCCAATTGTGTCAGCTTCCGTCACATTTGTCTTTAGTGGTAATTATCAGAAGGCTTGGTTGCTGGTTTGTACCAACATGCTGAACGAACTTTCAGCCTTTTCAGGACTTCAAATGCCAAAATTGGCAGAAACAGGAGGGGAAGGGCTAAAAATAGAAAGGAAAGACCTGTTTGCTGCAAAAAGCTGCTTTTTACTTTAATCTTCAATGTTACAACTGATATTTTTACACACTAAATATAAGCAAGTGCTCCCACTGGGTCCCCATGCTTCAGTGAAAACCAGCCTGGATTTATTTATGATATCAATATGACACAAGTAAGTTCAACAGACACACATAATTTGGACAGTAGCAAGAATTTAGTGGCCCTGATCCAGGAATATTACGCTGCAATCCTATTCATGCTTACACAAAAGTTAAGTCTCACTGCGTTCAACTGGACTCACTCCCTTATTAAGCACATTTAGAATTGGGGCATCAGACAGAACGTACTTGCTCTGTTGCTCTCTGCAAGGTTTAGGCACAACTATCTTTCGCTATATTAGAGGTTAATATGTTTCTAATTAATCAGTTATGTTATAAGCAATAATATAGATTATCATGTTTCATAATAATAATACTTATGGCTTTCTTCCAAGTAAATGGCATAGGATTCCAGCACCGAGTAGACATGTAGAAAATTGCACTGTTAATTCTTATAAGCTTTTTGTATTTTATTCAATATTTTCAATAAAGATTCTGTATCGTAAAGCAAAAAATAAACTTCATTGAATATAATTGGCACACCTCTGGTTAATTGAATGCATGAATCCTACTGAAGAAAGAAGGTGGAACATACTTATCAACGTCAAGAATATCCAAAACTTTGGATACATAATTATTAAAACTTCACATACCTTGGTCATTAGCTTGTGATGTTTCTGAAACATTAACTGCTAGCTGGCTGCTAAATGAATTTACTCCCATCATGCCAGTATGAGCTGGGGTGTTGGCAAGTGTTGGAATCTGATTGTGGTTGCGTGGCACACTGTATAATGCTTCTGCAATATCTGCTGCTCGTTTCAGAATTATTTCCTGCAAAATTGTAAAAGAATTAATTTCAAGTAAGTAATACAGTGTGCTTGTTTCACCACATACAGTGGTGCCCCGCAAGACGAATGCCTCGCAAGACGAAAAACTCGCTAGACGAAAGGGTTTTCCATTTTTTGAGTCGTTCCGCAAGACAAATTTCCCTATGGGCTTGCTTCGCAAGACGAAACGTCTTGCGAGTTCTTGCGAGTTTGTTTCCTTTTTCTTAAAGCCGCTAAGCCGTTAATAGCCGCTAAGCCGCTAATAGCCGCTAATAGCCGTGCTTCGCAAGATGAAAAAACCGCAAGACGAAGAGACTCGCGGAACGGATTAATTTCGTCTTGCG